TACAATACATCAAAAAATCAGCCGGGCGTGGTAGCGCGCGCCTGTAATTCCGGCTACTCGGAAGCCTGAGGCGGGAGGATCGCCGGAGCCCAGCAGGTCGAGGCTGCGGTGGCCGGGAGCGGCCACTGCACTCCAGTCTGAGTGACAGAGTGAGACTCCAACTCAAAAAAAAAAAAAAGAAAGTGTCCGCCCTTCAACGAGATGCAAAACCCAGGGTCTGATGAACACAGTCCCCAAGGGGACAGCTGGGCTGCCTGCTTACAGGCTGCACCACCGGTTCTGCAGAAGAACCAGGGCAGGACAGCCGAGGGCAGTGGCCATGTGGACAGGATGGCCGAGGGTGATTCGCGTGGACTCAGGTGCTTCTGACTCTGTGGTAGGGCTCGTGTTTAATTTTGTTTCGTTCTCTAGGACTTACACACATAGGGAACCTGTACTGGTTTATGCACAAACCTGTTTCACCAGCTTTATTCTGAAAACAATCTGAGCCTAGGCCGGGAGGCCGCAGGGAGTGTTTCCTTGCAGCAAGCCTTATTCGAGAATCGCCGTTGGGGGTGTCTCTGCCTCTGATGTTATGTCAGTTCCACTCAGGCTCAGCACATCTGAATGAGACAGCTCAGCACTGCAGAACGGGTGCTGAGAGCCGGCTACTGCAGCCACATAGCGTGTCCTCCCTCCTGTCTCTGAGCCCCTCGTCCTCAAGAGGAAGGTGGCACGGTGGCCCCCACAGCTGTCAGATTTATGTGAGACAGTGGATGAGAAAGTACTGGCTACCTAAATAGTGACAAGGTCTTGGATCTAAGAGCCGGCAGAAATGCCGTCGAGCAGGTGTTTCCCTTCTTACACCATGGGCTGCGCCAAGGCCGTAAGGGAGCCGGGTGGGCTGGGACTGAGGCCAGCCGGGCGCCGGCACTTGCCAGGTGCTGAGAGAGTCCCTGTGCTGCAGGCGAGACTGCAGACACCCTCCTGGCACTGCGCTACTGTAAGGACCGTGGCGCCCTGACCGTGGGCGTCACCAACACTGTGGGCAGCTCCATCTCCCGTGAGACCGACTGCGGCGTCCACATCAACGCAGGGCCAGAGATTGGCGTGGCCAGCACCAAGGTAGTGGGAGTCATGGGCTCCCGGGCAGCCTGGGCTGGTGGGTGGATGGGAGGGAGGGTGTCCGGGTGCCGCCCTCCTCCTTCGGCGTGGACTCGGTGCCGCCTGCCTCGCTGGGTGGTCGCGCTTCGTTTCAGTCTCGTTTGTCCTGCGTCGTGTTCTGCGTTTGTCCTGTTGCTCTTTGGCGCTCTGAGGGTCTTGAGATGCCCACTTGGAGGTCCTCGCTGCCCCCGCCGTCCACAGGCGTACACCAGCCAGTTCATCTCTCTGGTGATGTTCGGTTTGATGATGTCTGAAGACCGAATTTCCCTGCAAAACAGGAGGCGCGAGATCATCCTTGGCCTGAGAGCCTTGCCTGGTATGTCCTGGAGCTCAGCCTCCCGCATTCTCAAATCCTGTGGACTGTGGGTCTCTCCCTCCATGGCTCTCCCACGGACAATGCTATAGATGACTGCCTTCTCCTAAAACTTTCTGCCCTCCCCAGCTCCCTCTGGCAGTTCCCACCAGGCCTAGATTAAAGCCCACACCCCTCACCAGGCCCAGGAACCCTCTCACTGTGCCCCACTGCCTCTGACCTTCCCACGACCCTCCTCTCCTAAGCCGCCTGGTTGACCTGATCCTCAGTGGTCAAGTGCATTCCCACGACACGGCCTTTGCACCGACCCTTCCTTCTGCTGAAATCCTCTCCTCCAGCTCTTCTTGCAGCTGAAAGTCTCTCACCTCCCAAGCCTGAGCTCAAATATCACCTCCTGGGGCCTGCCCTGGCCACCCTGCTGGGGGCCCAAACCCTGCCCCTGCACTCCGCAACATTTGCCCACTTTCTGTGTGATGCATCTCGTGACCTGGAATGACTTTGTTCACCTGTTTGCTGACTCGACCCCCCCAGCTGACATCAGCTCGGTGAGTCACAGCTACACAGCCAGCGTCCAGTCCAAGGCAGGCATGCAGTAGGTGTCCAAGAGAGGAACCGGCCCAAGCCCTTCCTGTGCCGGGCTGCCTCTTCAGGGGCCACCCTGCGTTCCTCTGCTGGGCAGCTAGGCAGCCCTGTCTGTGTCGCACTGAGCCACGACCGTCCGGGGGCTGTGCTTTCCCCTCCGCTCATCCAGCACACGTGTGTCGAAGACAGTTCTCCGGGCCTGCCCGGGAGCTGTCTGGCTGCTGAGGTGAGCGTGGTTTGCTCCCTCCCTCGCTTCCCCAGAGAGGGAGTGTACCCTCTTGGGCTCTGTGCGCACGTTGCAAGCGGGAAACGAAGCAGGCCACACCTCGGGGCTGATGCAGAGCACACACTGGGGGAAGGAGGGTCACAGAGCTGTGGGGCCCCTTCCGGAGAGAGGGCTTCGGGCTTCCCAGGAAGCCCAGGCAGCCCCCAGAGCAGGCAGGGGAAGGTCTCACAGTGGCGGGCTCCACGCCGAGGGGTCTGACGCAGCTGGGACCACATGCTGGGGTTGTGGAGCAGAAGAGCTTTCCCATAAGGACAGGCCCTGACCATGCAGGCAGGACTCGCCGATGTCCAGTCAGCCACTCTCAAGACAGGGCCCACGGGTCCTGGGGGTCTACAAGACCTTTCTGCAAAACCACCTACATAGTGATGCATTATTTGTGATAAATAAGACTTGTTTTGACCCATGTTGACATTTGCAAAGGCCGGGGCAGCTGCACCTGGCACCCAGTGCCCTTGGAGGTGTGAGCATAGTGACTTCAACAAGTGTTATTTTTCAAAAATTGATAATGAAATGTGGCTGGTTGCAGTGGCTAACGCCCATAATCCCAGCACTCTGGGAGGCTGAGGCAGGAAGATTGCTTGAGCTCAGGAGTTTGAGACCAGTCTGGGCAACACAGCAAAACCTCTTCTCTACAAAAAATCAAAAACTAGCCTGGCACGGTGGCACGAGGCTGAGGCGGGAGGATTGCGTGAGCCCAGGAGGTTGAGACGGTTGTGAGTGAGCTGTGATTGTGCCACTGAGCTCCAGCCTGGGTGACAGAGTGAGACCCTGACTCAAAAAAAAAAAAAATCTGCATAACTTTCTGGCTAATGCAGGATGCTACAAAATTATGCACATACAAATGATCCGCTTAAAAGTACAAGATAGACCAATACATGCTAATGTAACGAAGTCGAAAAAGTTCACTGATGTCATTTCAGATCCCATATTTGCATCTGCCTTTTTAAGAAACAGCTATTTCTCATGTTGGAGGTACTGTGGTATCAAAGAACGGTATTTGCAATTTTTTGAAGAAGTTATTTAAATACTCCCTTTTCCCGCTACAAATCCCTGCTCCTGGGCTGGGTTTTATTCCTGTACCTCAGTCACAGAATATAGCACAGCAGGTTGAATGCAGCAGCAGATACGAGAGTCAACTGTCTTTTACCAAAGAGCCAGACATTTAAAAGGTTTGCAGAATCGTAAAGAATGCCACTGTCCTCACTGATTGTTTGAACATTTAGTAATGCAATGGACTGATTATTTTTTAATGGATTAGGAAATAATTTTAAATTTCTCTGTGTTATTTTCTAATCCAGCCAACACTGACAGCCGTAACCCACAAATTCTCAGTCATTGCTAAGATAATAAGAGGGTCAGGCATCCTGAGGCCGCCAGGAGTGGGAGCTGCTGCCCCTGCTTCCTGCGGCTCTGTCCCCCGTGGCAGGGCCTGAGCGCTCATGGGCTGTGCACTCCGCCTCTTGCCAGCTGACAGTTCACCTCTCCAAGCGTCAGTTGTCCTACCTGCAGAATGGAGCTGGACTAACACTTCCCCACCTGCCTTATCAAGAGCGTTCACACACATGAGTCCTGCGGGCCCCTTATCTCCCACAATCTCAGTGTAAAGCCCTTCTAAACGGCTGCCGGGATGCCACACGCGCCACGTGCCTGCCGCGCATCTGGAGCCCGGCGTGAGCCCGCGGTCTTTCCTTATGGGTGACCGGCGTCCCCCTCTCTCGCGGCCCAGAGCTGATCAAGGAGGTGCTGTCCCTGGACGCCAAGATCCACGACCTGGCCCTGGAGCTCTACATGCAGAGGTCGCTGCTGGTGATGGGGCGAGGCTACAACTACGCCACCTGCCTGGAGGGAGCTCTGGTGAGCCTCCCTGGCAGCCTCGGGAGAAGCATAGGGGACCCCGGAGGCCAGGGACGGGGTGGGACGCTGGGTCTGGGGAGGCTGGGCCGGGAGCCACCCCATGATCCTGCACCAAACACCCGCCCTCAACCAGGCATCTGGCCTGGCACGCGGAGACGTGTGAGGCAGGCACGTGTCCTGAGGGCGGCAGGGACGGGCGTGTGAGGCCGGCACCGGCTCCACCTGGGACGCCTGCTTGCACGCGTGAGGCCTGCGAGGTGGCCGCGCTGTCCGCAAGGCCTCTGCAAGGTTCACCTCACTCGGACTACTCAGAGGGACCAAATCAAGCCCAGTCCACACGCCTTGACTTCTCCCAGTACCATGAACGTGGGGGCTTGGCAGACTGGATTTATGGGGTGGGGTCTCTGCACTTTCCTTGTTGGCCCCGAGACGTCCAAGGGGAGTTTGGGATCCTGCAGGAAGGAGTTTCGAGGGCCCTGCATTTCCAGAATGAGTGACAGGAGGTAAAGCCCTGCACCAGCTGAGAGAAGGCTGGCAGAGTGGCAGGAGCCCGGACCAGGGCTGCCGGGGGTGGGGGTGGGCCGGAGCTGTGCTGGCCCACTCGGGGCTTGCCCCCGTGTGCCGAGGACGCCCAGCCCCAGTGGCCTGACACCACCCAGGGGCGCCCCAGCGCCACGAGACCATTCCCAGCTGAGCTCAGGGTCCTGGCAGGTAGTGCCAGCCCAGTCTTAGTGATGCCACCTCTCGTGTGCCCCCCCGAACCCCAGAGATTCTGACTCCTGGCCCACAGGAAGCCAGCTGAGGGGAGGGACGGGTGCCCACTCCTTCTGGGGTGCCCTGTCGGCGCCCAGACAGCCCTGCCACCGGGCAGGGTGCAGCCGCGTGACTGAGAGTGCCTGGGGGGTGTGCCTTCTCGGGTGCCCCAGGAGCCCATGGAAGGAAGGCATCCTGGCTGCTGGCGGAGGCGTGGCCCTCTTCTGGCACTGGGAGGCCCCATGACATCGGCAGCCTTCAGTAGAGCCACCCCCGTCGGCGTCTCTCTGACCCGGGCGCATCATGCTGGGGGCCGAGGGCTGTGCCACCACTTCAGGGAGAGATTCGGTGGGGGCTGAAGAGAGACGGATCCGTGCGAACACGGGGTCGGGGAGGTCAAGGACACCCCGGGCGTGCGGCTCGTGGTCATTCGTGGGAACCGCCCTTCACAGTTATTCCGGGTGGGAAGCAGGGCAGCCTGGTCCGATGACTGACAGAAGGCAATCCCAGGAGCCGCCACGCCCGTCGAGAGGTGGCTGGCGAGGGGGCACGGGCAGGCCGGGCCGGCGCAGTCATCCAAGGGTGGCCGTGCGTGGACGGGGCTGGCCTCGGGACAGGGCCGCATGCCCAGCTCTGCACACCCTGGACAGTCACCGGGCCTGTCCCCGGCCCCTGCCAGGCGTTTTTGGTGCTGTCGACTGCTCTGGCCCCTGCCTGCCCCCAAGCCTCCCTCCCTTCCGGCCTGGCTCCCCTTCCCTGCCTGACCTCCTGTGTTTCCCTAGAAAATTAAAGAGATCACCTATATGCACTCAGAGGGCATCTTGGCGGGGGAGCTGAAGCATGGGCCCCTGGCCCTGGTGGACAAGCAGATGCCCGTCATCATGGTCATCATGAAGGACCCTTGCTTCACCAAGTGCCAGAATGCCCTGCAGCAGGTCACGGCCCGCCAGGTGAGGCTGCCCCAGACGGCCCCTCATTCACGGAAGTCCGCCCGCGCCAGCTGGGGACGATCGGGTGTGACCACTCTCCTGGGCCCCATGAGCGGTGCACACCCCGAAGGAACCTGGCCGGCCTGCCACATCCCCCATGGCTCCTCAGGGAGGCGGGTCCCAACATGGCCCTGAGCTGTCTAGGTCCCAGGCTGGACCCAAGAGGCATTCGCGTGGGAGTGTCCTGGGTGCAGTTTCCAGAGCTGCAGCTCACAGGAGCAGTCAGGGCTCACCGGCCAGGGCACTCTGCCCAAGATTGCCCTCACTTACACCCCAGCATGAGCTCAAGCCCACCGTCCACCTGCACTTCTGACTGGCTGGCTGCAAATTCAAGGGTTTCCACTCCCCTCAGGCTCAGTAATTCTCTAGAACCACTCACAGGACCAGGGAAGCATCAGGCCTGCGATTACACGTGTATTGTGAAGGGCACAGATCACAGCCAGCCCAGAGGAAGAAACCCCAGAGGCCAGGTGTGTCCAGATATGAAGCCCAGTGTCCCCAGGGCATGTCGCCCACCCAGCCCATCACTGTGGGATTCCAATGCGTCCCCCGAGCTGCCAGCTTCAGTGTCTAGAGTTTTCACTGGGCATGGTTGACAGGTCACTGGCCATGCGGCTGGACTCAGTCGCTGCCCCCTTCCCTTCCAGGATCTGGGGAGGCCAGAGTGGCAGCCTATGGCTAGGGCCAGCCTCTGGTTGTGTCTGGTCTTTCTGGCCCAGTCAGCCCCCTCCCTGGAACTCCACGGCTGTCACAAGTTAGCCCCTTGTCATAAAGTCAGAAGTGGCTTAAGGGGGCCCCTCAGGCCTGCCCGTGGGAAAGTCCAGATGCCAGAGTTCCCTCCCACGACCTGAGACCGCACCAGGACTTTATGATAATAGGTGCTTTCTTACACAGCAGTGGCCCTACGCAGGGCAGAGCTCAGAAAACTTCAGGGCAGGGAGATCTCCAAAGGCGCTCCCTCCAGGGGGCCATGCCGGCCAGCACAGGGGCCAGATGGGGTGTGGAACACAGCCCCATCCTCCCGACAGGCAGCCTTCCCATGGCCCCAGGAGACACAGGCCCTCGCCCCTCCTCCCGGCTCATGGGAGCCCGGTTTCTCCAGCTCTCCCGTTTTCCACGCAGGCCAAGCTTGTGCCTGCCACTGAGCCTTTGTGCTGGTTATTCCCTCTGCCTGGAGCATTCTTCCCTCTTCATTCAGGTCCCAATCAGAGAGGCCCTCCCAGAATTTCCCAGCGCCGCCCCCTCACCCCCACCACCTCACCCTGTTTCTTGCCTCCACGATATTTATCTGAAAGTCACCTTTCTATCCTGGTTTCCCTGTGAAGTCTGTCCTGCCCCCAGACCACGAGCCCCATTAGTTAGGAGCGCATCTGGCCTGCCCTTCACGAGACACAAGAAGAAACACCCAACGGCATCAGACGCACGTGTGCCGTGCACACCGCCTCACCCGCAGTCCCAGCAAGCACATTCCCGTCGCAGCTGCGCGCGTCCAGATGCGCTGCGGTGCGGAGGGCTGCTCCTCCCAGAGTCCAGAGCCTGACGCCCCACCCTTTGCTCCAGGGCCGGCCCATCATCCTGTGCTCCAAGGACGACACTGAGAGCTCCAGGTTTGCATACAAGACCATCGAGCTGCCGCGCACGGTGGACTGCCTGCAGGGCGTCCTCAGCGTGATCCCGCTGCAGCTCCTGTCCTTCCACCTGGCTGTCCTCCGAGGATACGATGTATGTCTTTGGTCACACCATACAGGGGAGGGGGTAGCGGGGGGACACGCAAGGTCCTAGCATTCCTGTGTCTTTAAATCCTTATTGGAGTAAATAGTCATGGGATAAATCATTCCTTTTTTTTTTTTTTT